AAAAAAAAAAAGAAAAAAAAAAAAAAAAGAAAAACAGCATCGTCACTGGAGGCAGGTACATTAGGTTTTAAACCCATTTCCACCCCTTCTAGTTACTGGTGCCTTACTTTCTTCATCTGTGAATCTGAGGTTGTAAGATCTCAGAGACTGTGCGTAAGGTGCCAGGCAGAGTCCCTGGCAATAGGTGGTGTTCAGCACATAGTAGGTGCTCACGTCCTAGAAGAAAATGATTTGTGCCATGTCAATATTGGCAGAGTAGAGAAACTTGCAGATGTAGGCAGACCTGCAAGGAAAGGTGAGCAGGAGAGAATTTGACAAGGTGAGGGGTTCTGGCCTGGGCTGTTGTACAGGGAGTTTGGGGTTGGAAAGACTGAGAGAGCCTTGGATTCCCATCTTAGGGATACAGAACAGCAAAGAAAGAGCAGGAAGGGAATGGCATGATGAAAATAGAGTTTGCACCCGTGCTTCAGCAGCACATACGCTAAAATTGGAATGATACGGAGAAGATCAGCATGACTCCTGCGCAAGGATGACACACAAATTTCTGAAGCCTTCTGTATTTTTATAAATAAAAAACTGGAAAAACAAAAAAAAAGAAATAGAGTTTGCATTGTCCCAGGATGAAGATCATTCCGGCTGTAAGGCAGGGAGGCAGGAAGCTGTCGCCTGAGTGTCACGAGGACAAGACCTAGGTCATGTGCCAGCAGCAAATAGAACAGAAGAAATAGATTTTTTTTTCCTGTTCCATGTGAAAACGAAAATAGAAGGGTAAGAGATAATTTAGCACAAGGGACCCATTTTACAGGCGGGAAAACTGAGGCTCACGAAGGAGAAAAGGTGGTGCAATGATGTTATCTGCGGCCATTGTGGATTTTTCACAAGATGATTAATAAACTAAAAACTTTCAAAAAGAAAAGAAAAGAAAACTGAGGCTCAGAGTGGGGAAGAGACTAGTTCAAGATACTGAAGACTTCTATTACAAGTTACTGTCAGCCCTGACACTAGTCCTCCTGTTTCCTAACAACTCCTACCCCATTTCCATCAGCCCCCAGCCAGCCTCCAAAGTAGATACTGGGAAGGATTTCTCTGGATGGAATCAGTATTTAGTAGCTGTGGAATCTATTCTCCCTCTCCTGCCGCCGAGTCCAGAGTCCTTTTTTGGTGCCAGCCCAGCTTTCTTCCCTCCAGGTGGTTACCTTTTAGGTAAATCCCCTTAGGGAGTTGATTGATAATGAAGCCTCTCTCACATATGATTTTAAGTGTGTACGCCCCCATCTAAGTGGCATTTACATTTCAATGGCAGGTACTTAAAGACCTAAAAGCCTGCAAGATTCAAAGGACCAAGTTTTCTTAAGGTGCAATCACAGGTTCCTAGTGAGTCCCAGCTCAAAATAGCTGAATGGGCTGAATTTTTTTTCTTGGCAATTGGACATTCATTTGTTCAACTAAAATTCACTAATACCTTCTAAGTACCAGGCACTGTCCAGGCAAGGTCTCTGGCCTACATTCTAGCTGTAAATTCAGGATTATAAAACCGAATATCTTAGGAACTCAAGAGAAGGCCACATATCCCAGTCTGTGAAGGGGAGATGTCACTGAAAAATGTGAACACTGAACAGTGAACACTGAAAAGGTGTGAGCTTGCAAATGTGAGTGAACTTGGCAAAAGTAGGTGGACAGGAAGGGGACAGGGCATTCCTTGAGCAAAGCCTGGGAGGCTGCAGTCCCAAGCACAAGTTTAACGAGTACCACCAGCTAACGGTGAGGAGAGCTGCTTTTTGTTTAATTTATTGGGTGAAGAGGCCCCTTGTATGCTCTGTTTCTATCAGGAACATGCAAGAATGCTCTTTCCTTGAGATTGTGGCCATAGGGACAGCCTTCCACTGAGGTCCTCAGTGCAGAGACTCACTCCTAGCTTGGGGTAGGGCTGCGAACCCTTACATCCCATTCCCAGGTGGCCCCAGGTACATCATAGGCCACAGTTGGGAGCACATGTAGATACGTACTTTAAAAAAAAAAACAGCGTTTGGCTGGGCATGGTGGCTCATACCTGTAATCTCAGCACTTTGGGAGGCTTGAGGCAGGTGGATCACCTGAGGTCAGGAGTTCGAGACCAGCCTGACCAACATGGAGAAAACGTATCTCTACTAAAAATACAAATTTAGCCAGGCATGGTGGCGCATACCTGTAATTCCAGCTACTCAAGAGGCTGAGGCAGGAGAATCATTTGAACCCAGGAGGCGGAGGTTGCAGTGAGCTGAGATAGCGCCATTGCACTCCAGCAACAAGAGAGAAACTCCATCTCACAAAACAGAAACAACAACAACAACAAACCCCAGTGTTTAACACTTTCAAAAAATTAGTTGCCATCATTAGAGTTTAGGGAGACGTCAAAAGTCTACATTTTGGCTGCTCTTGAAAATTACAATATTTGAAATCACTGGTCTCTCATGATTGCAGTGGACTGGAGCTAAGGAGCAGGGACCCTTTTCAGACAAGGTTTGAGCTCACTCCTCAAGTTCACCACAGTTTCTGTCCAGCCAGCCTCACTTATCTACTGCCTTCTCCCACCCTTGCTCCTGTGCCCATCCCGTGCCCATCCCGTGCCCATCGAACTTTAAATGGCACTTCCCTGATGGTGATGTTAAGTAAAGTAGCTCTTGCTCCAACTTACCCAGCTATTACCTCTTCTTATCTGATATGCTCTAGGCAACCTGTGCAGTTTACTGAACAAGAGTTGAATCAAGGTTCACTCTGTTTATAGGAATGAGGGTGGAGAATGGCAGAGCCACTGGGAACAATATGGCTTGGAGCTGCTGGGGACCAGAGAACCAGGCTTACATCAGGGGGAAGGACTGGCTGCATATCCGGGGCATACTCGCTTGTGTAAGATCCTTATCCAGGGCCTTGGGAGCCTCTTAGACTGAGCTGAAACGTTTTTCTTGCCAGCTCTGCAAATAAGTGGCATGGAGAGAAAGCCAGAGAGCGCGGGCTTGCCCTTCTCAGCTTCCCCATTTATTTCTCTTCTGGGAAGGGAGAACCTGTGGTGTACTCCACAGATGGACCGCGTGGAGGTAAGCAAAGCTGCTGTTGGAAAACTTTCCCCACCCACTTTGTGTGTAAATGAGCACGTAGCCCAGTTTGGTATTAATCCACAAGCAGACCAGTGGAGCCAACGGGTCAAAGTTGCCTGGGGCCCGCCAACAAAGTCAGATGCCTAGCAAGGATACCGTACATTTCTGCAAGAATGACAGAGGTCAGACATGAGTTCATTCAGTTATCAATCATTAATTCAGCAGGTACTTTTCGAGTCCCTACTATGGGCTACAGAGGACCCCAGGAAGGGCTTTTGGATTGTGCATATTTTCTTTGCCACAGACCTGGCTGTGCATGTCTTATTTTTTATTTTTTGTAGAGGTGTGGTCTCAATAAGTTGCCCAGGCTGGTCTCACACTCTTTGGCTCAAGCGATCTGCCTGCCTTGGACTCCCAACATGCTAGGATTACAGGCGTGAGCCCACACGTCTGGCCTGTGCATGTTTGTTTTTGTTGTTGTTTTGTTTTGTTTTTCTGTTTCTGTTTATGTTTTTTCTTTTTTCTTTGAGACGGAGTTTCGCTCTTGTTGCCCAGGCTGGAGTGCAATGGCACAATCTCAGCTCACTGCAACCTTCACCTCCTGGGTTCAAGCAATTCTCTTGCCTCAGCCTCCCAAGTAGCTGGGATTATAGCTGTGTGCCACCATGCCCGGCTAATTTTGCATTTTTGGTAGAGACAGGGTTTCTCCATATAGGTCAGGCTGGTCTTGAACTCCTGACCTCAAGTGATCCACCCGTCCTGGCCTCCCAAAGTGCTGGGATTACAGTCATGAGCCACTGCGCTGGGCTGTTTTGTTTTCTTTATTTATTTTTTATTTTTTCTAGACAGAGTCTTGCTGTCACCCAGGCTGGAGTGCAGTGGTACAATCTCAGCTCACTGCAACCTTCACCTCCCGGGTTCAAGCAATTCTCCTGTCTCAACCTCCTGAGTAGCTGGGATTACAGGCATGCGCCACCACATCCAGCAAATTTTTGTGTTTTTAGTAGAGACGAGGTTTTGCCATGTTGGCCAGGCTGGTCTCAAACTCCTGACCTTGTGATTCACCTGCCTCGGCCTCCCAAAGTGCTGGGATTGGCTGGGTGTGGTGGCTCACGCCTGTAATCCAAGCACTTTGGAGGCCAAAGCAGATGGATCACCTGAGGTCGGGAGTTCAAGACCAGCCTGACCAACATGGTAAAACCCTGTCTTCAAAAAAAAAAAAGGGCTGGGATTACAGGTGTGAGCCACCACACCTGCTCCTGTGCATGTTTTTAAACAAGGATTGAGAATCATCTTTGTAGGGGAAAGGCCACAGCCTGCCTGAATAGTGTTAGCTATAGCCATTCTTGAAGGTACTAGAAGGTGCTATGATTTTACTAATGGTTTCCTTCCAGTTAGGAGTCTGCCAGAGTGTTCTTCATTTTAGGACCTTTCATTTTAGAGGCTCCTTTTCAGAGCCCTTAAGGAGATGAGGTTAACTTTAATGTAAAGCAACTATTCTCAGGCCAGGCGCGGTGGCTTACACCTGTAATCCTAGCACTTTGGGAGGTTGAGGCAGGTGGGTTACCTGAGGTCAGGAATTTGAGTCTAGCCTGGCCAACATGGTGAAACCCCATCTCTACTTAAAATATAAAAATTCTTCTTCTCTGATAAAACACCAAATGGTGGATGACGCCGGTGCAGTGACGGGGGGGCCTGGAGACCCCGGGGGCCCTGGGATGGGGAACCACTGTGGCTTCCTCGGAGGTTTCAGCAGTGGTATCTGGGGCCGGGAGTCGTGGCCGTGGACTGGGCTGGGGCCGAGGCCGCGGAGCTCCGGGAGGCAAAGCCGAGGATAAGGAGTGGATGCCTGTCACCAAGTTGGGCCGCCTGGTCAAAGGCATGAAGATTAAATCTCTGGAGGAGATCTATCTCTTCTCTCTGCCCATCAAGGAATCTGAGATCATTGACTTTTTCCTGGGGGCCTCTCTCAAGGATGAGGTTTTGAAGATTATGCCGGTGCAGAGGCAGACCCGTGCTGGCCAGCACACCAGGTTCAAGGCGTTTGTTGCTATTGGGGACTACAATGGTCACATCGGTCTGGGTGTTAAGTGTTCCAAGGAGGTGGCCAATGCCATCCGTGGGGCCATCAACCTGGCCAAGCCCTCCATTGTCCCCGTGCGCAGAGGCTACTGGGGGAACAAGATCGGCAAGCCCCACACCATCCCTTGCAAGGTGACAGGCCGCTGTGGCTCTGTGCTGGGGCCTCCTCCCTGCGCCCAGGGGAACTGGCATTGTCTCGGCACCTGTGCCCAAGAAGCTGCTCATGGTAGCTGGTGTCGATGACTGCTACACCTCAGCTGGGGGCTGCACTGCCACCTTGGGCAACTTCGCCAAGGCCACGTTTGATGCCATCTCTAAGACTTACAGCT